CGAATAGAAAATGATTTCTAAATACAGAGACTAGGTACTTAAATTATCTCTATWATAATAAAGCATTSTGATATTTAAAAATGTCACTGTGATTTTGATCGTTGCAATCGGTGTTTGACTTAGGGTAGAAGGGATGCAGATGGATGTAGTTCATTTTTTTWATGTACCTAGATTTTAATTTTCTTCATCATTTAATGAAGCGAAAAAAGTTTAAAACACAGCCATCTTGGAGATGTCTACTTTTGAATAAATACACTATAGTGTATTTGAATTTTGTTTTTATTTATTTTTAGAAAAGTTATGWTTATTTTTTCAGGAAACGGTTCCCAGGTTAACGACAGTCTATATGGTATCTTGTTAAACAAATTTTATTTTCATAATTTTGCTATAAACAAAATAAATCGATACTTTTTTATAAGTATTTTCCTAGAAAATGGGTTATAGTTGACTACGACTAATGATGGTACAAAATGTACCTATATTACAAGGCTTAAGACATAAAACAATATAATATTTATAATTATTACGCAATCAGTAATACACTGTTGCTCGTTAAATAAACCAATTTCAATTAACTACAAACTCTATAATGGCAGTTTTAATGTTTGTAGACAGTTATAATTTATAATTTGTAGCTATATTTTCTAGGTATTACATTTTCATAATTATTAAACCAAACATTTTTTTTGCATTGTATATATTTATATATTTCTTATAAATTACTTATGTTTCTTCAACTAATAACTACAAAGGTACCTAGTCTATATTTACTTAATATGAACTACTTATTATGTGTACCTCATATGATACGATAAATACTAAGTAGCACAATRTATGAAATTGTTGTCTTTTTCATAGAACATGATATAAATGTAAGGTAAATAAATACTATTTAACTTTAAATACCTATATAAGGGTTAGTTTTGAAATTTTAAAGGTTTTTGAGTCAATTTTTTTCTTTTACAAATATAAATAAAAATACAATTTTGTTTAAAATTTGCAATTATGTTACTTCCATAATTTTAATACTCGTAATTTGAATCTAGGTTCTAATTCAACATTACGCATTTATGTGTTGAAATCGTGAACACGATAGAGATAATGGAGAGTAAGAGCAATTATGTTAAAAATTATAATTTATTACTGCAGATATTGATCATATTCTATTACCGTTACATAAACTTAAAAGAATTGCTTAAAGTTTCACTAGCAAATGCATTACTAACATATTTAAMGAAACAAATTATAACTTGCTTTTGTCATTAAAATGAGCTTACATAAATTGGTGGTATGAAATTAGTGTTCGTGGTAAATATTGGTTGTATATTACAGGAAGATAAGT